CAGAACCACGGTGTGACTCCATCAGTGCAAAGACAGAGAGGTCATGGACAGCTCTGGGCAAGAAACTGTGGGGGGGATCAGGCACTGTGCAAGACACCAATGAAAGAAAGTGCCACGCATTTGTGAGAAAATTGGTGTTTCATGAGGGAAAATGCCATATATTGAGGGTACAAATGGTATTTCTGTGATCAAATGCCAAAAGTCTGGGAGTGAGTGTCATGATGAGGAGTGTCATGCAGTCTGTTTGGGAGGAAATGGGAGGTATTTCTAAGAGCACTCTATTTTTCTGGGAGAGAATGTCCTGTTCAGGGCAGAAAAGTGGTATTTCTTACCAAAAACGCCATCCAGTTGGGAGACAATCTCCTATATGTGGGAGAAGAGTAGTATTTCTGTGAGAAAATGTCCTATTCTTGGTTGCAAGTGCAAAATGTGGTCTTGTCCTCTGATATTTTGGGGAGAAAACCTGTGGTAGTTGTAAGAAAATGGGAGAATATTTTCTGGGAGAAAATATCCTATTTTTGGAAGAAAAGGTCAGCTTTGCAACTGAAATGTGGTATTTCTGTGAGAAAATGACCTACTTGTTGGAGCAAAGGGGGAAATTCTGGGAAGGAATGTCTTCTATTTGAGAGCAACTGTCTTCTTTTTGGAGTGCAAACCGGTCCTTTGGGGAGAAAATAGGGTCTATATGGGAGAAAATGTCCTCTTCAGGAGTGTAAAGTAGTCCTTTTGAGAGAAAATGGAAGGTATTTCTCAGAAAACTGCAATTTCTGGGGGAAGACAGCATGCTTTGTTGGAAAATGACATCTATTTGTGCGAAAGCTGGGATTTTGGGGAGAAAATGCCGCATTTTAAAAAATAAGCTGGTATTTCCGGGGGAATATGTCCCATCTTTGTTAGAAAACTGGAATATCTGTGATCAAATGTCATTTTGATGGGAGTGAACATGATATTGAGGAGTGTAAAGTAGTGCTCTTGGGATGAAATGTGAGGAATTTCTAAGGGTACTGGTATTCCTGGGAGAAAATGTCTTGTTTCTGAGAGAAAATGTCGTCGTACTTTGGGGGGAGAAACTGGTATTTCTGTGATAAAATGCCCTATTTCTGGGAATAAGTGTCCTATTGAGGAGTGTGAAGTCGTATTTTTGGTAGAAAATGGGAGGCGTTCCTAAGAGAACTGGTATTTCTGGGAGAAAATGTCTTATCTTGGGGGGGAAAGTTCCTATGTCTGTGAGAGAACTGTGTTTCCGGGAGAAACTGTCTTCTTTAGGCAGAAAAGATCACATATTTGCGAGAAAGCTGGTATTTCTGGGAGGAAATATCATGTTTTTGTTGGAAAATGTCACATTTGCTACTGTCATGTAGTATTTTGTGGATGAAACATGAAGTATACCTAAGAAAACCTGTATTTCTGGTAGAAAACGTCATCCCTTTGGGGAGAAGACTGGTATTTCAGGGAGAAAAGATCCTGGTTTGGGGAGAAAGTGTCCTATTTTTGATGGAAAAGTAGTACTTGTGGGAGAAAATGCCATGTATTTGGGTGAAGGGTGGGATTTCTGGGAGGAAATACCGTATGTTTGGAAGAAAGTGTCCTCTTTCAGGTTGGAATGTGATACTTGTGGTCGAAACTGTCCTATGTTTGGGGAAAACATGTATTTCTGGGAGATAATGTCATTTTATTGGAGCAAGCCATTATTTCGGGGAGAGAAGGTCTTATTTTTGGAAGAAAATGCGGTACCTGGGGTGGGGGAAGACTGGCATTTCTGGGAGAAAATGTCATCTTTTGGGGAGAAGATGTCACCTTGAGGATTGTCGTATTGTCATATTGTTTGGAGAAGGCCTGAGGTAAGAAAAGTGGTATTCCCAGGAGACAGTATCATATTTTGGGGGAGTGGGGGAGGGGTCATCATCTATGTGGGAGAAAGCTGGTATTTCTGGGAGAAAACATCCTCTATTGAAGAGCCAAGGGGTATTTCTGGCAGGAAATGTCCCACATTTGGGAGTCAAGTGGCATTTCTGTGATAAATGCCATATTGTTGGGAGTAAGTGTCATATGAAGGTGTGCAAAGTAGTCTACTAGGGAGGAAATTGGAGCTATTCCTTTGAAAGCTGGTATTTCAGGGAGAAAACGTCTTCTTTCTGGGGGGCAATGTCATCTGTTTGAGAGAATGCCGATAAGTCTGGAAGAAGATCTCTTTTTGGAGGAAACTGTAATATTAGGGAGAGAAAAGTGGTATTGCTGGTCCAAGATGTCATCAAGTTGGGATGACACTGGTGTTTCTGGGAGAAAATATCCAAAATATTTTGGATGAAAATGTGGTCTTTAGGGTTGAAATGCGGTATTTTTGGGAGGAAATGGAATATGCATGAGAGAAAACTGTTCCTTTGGGGAGAATGTATCCTATTTTTGGCGGAAAATGTCCTATTGAACAGTTTAAGCCTGCATTTTTTGGAGAAAATGCAAGTTATTATCAAGGAAACTGGTATTTCTTGGAGATTATCACATATTTGGTTGGAAAACTAGAGTAATAAGGACAGAGAGTTTTGGCAAATGCAGAAGCAATCAAAGCACAGAAAGCAAAGCTTTGTAAGTGCTCCATAGTTTGTATCATATCTGATCATAAATTGATAATCATAAATTCAATAAAATATCTCCATGGCTTTACCTTCTCCAATCAAAATGGAAAGGACTCATAGCCCCTTACAGTGAGGATTATCTAGTTAGGTTTGATACACGATGTGCTCTGGAAAACTGTAGCAATTACAAACAGTACAAAAAGAAATTTGAGATAATTATAGCTGGCTAGTACATTGTAGCAATGTAAAGAATGGAGGAGAGGCAGAATTCAGAAAGTTTTCAGAAATAGTTCAAAGTCGTTCAAAAAGGTTTCTTGCTAGGCTTCAACCCTTGACAGAGCTACAGACCATTTCTATGTATGTTTTGTGATTTCTGGCAGGTCGTTTTCTCACTTCCACTCATAGAATCACTCAGGTTGGAAAAGACCTTAAAAATCGTCAAATCCAACCATAACCTAACCACACTACTTTTACTCTAACAACCCTCTGCTAAATCATGTTCCTGAGCACCGCATCCAAACGGATTTTAAAACATCCAGGGATGGTGACTCAACCACCTCCCTGGGGAGCCCAGTCCAGTGCTTTTCTAACTTCAGCTCTGAGAAAAGGACAAAAATTCATTTGGGATTCTTACTACCTTGTACTGTAAATCTCTCAATTCTGTATGGATGGGGTATTGTCTGTCTACAGGTATTGCTGACAGTTTTCTTCCCCATCATTCTGTATCTCTCATTGTCTTTTTCGTAGTTTCCACTGTGTGTTTTTTTTCTTGTTCTTCATTTCTTTTTTTTTCTTTTTTTGTTTTTGTTTTTATTTTTGTTTGTCTATCTGTATGGCTGTTGCTTTAGTTTTTGTTTGTTTGTTGTTTTTTTTGTGTGTGTGTGTGGGGGGGGGTGGGACAGGGGGTTTTGGGAGGGCTGAGTTGGTTGTTTAAGCTTGGTTGTTCTGTTTGTGTGTCTGCTTCCAAGTGACTTCAGTATACGTCCATCTCAGAAATCTGCTTGTATTATGATTTTTAATGCAAACATGAAAAATATTTACTACAGACACCTTTTTCACTGATATTCTGATACTTCACTCAACTAAGGAAACCTCATTATTCTTCAACAGGTCATCCACAAACTGATTAGTAGAGAAGAAGCCACTAGTAGTAACAAACAATTAAGAGGCCACGGCCACCTGAGGGAAACCTCATGGTGTTTTGTTTTGGCCAAGGGAACCCAGCTGATCATTTTCAGAACTTGCATCAATTAAAAAAATAAATAAATAAAAATGATAACTAGTAATAATAATTAAATAAAAGTACGAAAAGACCATTCAAGCTGCATGAAAATAAAATCATGGATTCTCACTACCACTGTTGCTGTATTTGTTTATAAAGCCAAGATCATGGCCTCAATCGATGGTGTAAAACTGCATCACTTGACATGCTGTCTTCCTCTAAAGAGGGATTAAAAACACATATGAAATCTTAGAATCCATTTGAAAATCAATTTTACTTTATTTCCCTTAACTTCAATAATATAATGAAACCCAACTTTCAGCCCGTTAGTCCAAACCAGCTTTTTTCTTTTTTTCTTTTTTCCCCAAGACTATTTTTATGATTTTCAAGGATCAAAGAACATCTGTAACAATTAGTTTTCCATAGATCATTTCTTCTTTTTTTCATAATTTTGCGTTCCCTTACTTTCTGGCTCTGAACTTTGCTTCTACAATGCCAAGGGATTCCAGCCACCACATGCATACAGCCAAGACATTTTAGTGTGAGTTAGATACTCAGGCATACACAACCTGTAACCCACATGCTACGTGTATCCCAACTCAACTTGCACCCCCTACAGCTGTATCTATCACGGCAGCAGCTCTACCCTGATGAGTGGCCAGGCCTAGCCCGGAGTCACAGCAAGGTTTGCAGAGCAGCACTGACAAATAAAGCAACAGAACTGAGAAAAGGCTGTCACCTTAAGGAAATATTTTAAACTAAGTCACATGGCAAAAGAATGTCACGACAGTGCTTTCTAATGGGATATAAGCGCCATAGCAGGTAACCATACAAGACCATATGACCATACCTAACAGGTAACCATACATAACCTACAAGAACCATAGCAGCAGGTAATGAAGAAAAATTAGCTCACCCCTTCCAGAAACTAGTAACAACTCAAAAGAAGAGCAAACTCAGAGAGATACTGCTCCCTCTGCTGCTAACACTGAAATAAAAGCACCTTTTCCAATCATTGCTTGCACCTCAGCTCCCTGGGATAGCCTTGACCTCTCAACTAATGTTCAATCATTGGTTCAGGCTGGGAAGGGATGGAGTGCAGCAGAGTTGCTAGGTCACAGCCTGAGCCAAAGATTGAATAGGTCAGGGGTAAACTCCTGCTGTTTTGGAAACATGAAGTACAACGTGTATCGTGCGTGATGCAGGTACAGTACCTATCAATGATGTGATTGACAGGTGATTGTTGCAAGGTGATTGTTGACAGTCTTCTTATGGTTGTGTTGGAACAGTACTTGATGTTGCTTCTGGAGGCTTATCTTCTTCAGTTCAGGTTTGGGTTCACTGGTTCCCAGAACTTCAGCACTCCACCACCTGGTGTCATGACATACCCTCACAGACACTGAAGCACGCTGAAGTGTTGATGCTCCTACCAGTGGTCCTGTGGACTTCACAGCCTCAAGGGGAGTAGTACAGATGTTTACAAGGTATGAGGAGTGGTGGGTCTGCCTTCAGTGGTAGGATACAGGCTGTGTTTTTGTCTTGAGTCAAACACCTCCACTTGTGCTGGGGCATGTCCTGGCCTTTGGTACAACATCCTTTGTCCTGATATCTGGGGCAGGATCACTATATCAGGTACTACAGGGGGGTGGGGGTTCTAATTTGCCGTGTGGACATGTTTAATGTTCCCTTTGTGATGAAAATTGGAGTGCCAGCTACTATGTTTACTGGCTGTGTAGTGATAACCATAGGGTTTACCTCTAACAAATGCCTCCAAGGTGCAAGTAGATTATTAAGAGAAAGGAAAATTGGCTGTGACAAAACAAAAATTATTGTTGGAATATGGATCAAAGAAATCAATAAATCCCATTCTTGCAAAACCTGTTGCTGGTTGCATTGCACTCTTCTGGAAATCTGCACATAGAGCAGAAAAATGAAAATTTGTATAGAATTAAAATTGAGATTTTGAAGTAGTGAGTGAATGGTAATCAAAGAAATAAAGTGCAACTTTAGATTTTGTTGAATCCCAGGGAGCATACTCATGCAGGCAGTCCAGTTCACTAATGTAGCTGTCTTTTCATATGGTCCTAAACTTCTACATTAGATTCAGTTCTTGCTTGCCTGCTTGTAGTCATAACTCCAGAGAGATTTCCCTTTGGAATGTTAAAAATTGAGTTCTCCTGAATCAGCTTCCACAAAACAAATGTTCCTCACACAAACTTCCTCACACAAGGGTACTTTGTAAGAAGAAGAAGATGAAATACAAGGCCAAATATCTCCTGGCTCACTTAAATACTGTCCTTGCCCTGTGAGTTTTAGCAAGTCACTTAAATTAGTGGTTGTAACACAATGAAAAGCACGACAGTGATAGCAGAGTAGCAAGACCCCAGGCTGCAGTGAGTGAAAACTTGCTAAACAGAGCAGTCATGGAGACAGAAATAAGGAAAAAAAAACCTGCTTATCCTTGGAAGGCCTCAGCTATGCAGGGATCTCCAGATGAGATACCCTCAGCTCCACTGCCAACACTTAAATGAGGTCTGGGAAGAGGAAGATCCTGTCAATACCCATACTGGTCATTCATGTGCACTGCATACACTTGAGCTCCCCTGGCTTGGCCCTGCCTTACTACTAGGTGCTCAATCACGGTTTCAAGCCCTGACTTAGCAAGCAAAATAAACAAAACTGAAGAAAACCTATGCATTTAAAATGGTTAGGATTTGACAAAGAAAAAATAGAAAATGTTCAAAAGTAGCAAATCCAATTTTTGTTTCTTCAGAAACACGCTCATTTCAGGTAAAAGCTATTAGCTACTGCTACGTAAAGAAAATACAATGTATAATGTTCAGTGTTACAAAAAAGAACTAATTTTGAAAAGAGAACTAGTGCATTTCATGATGGCATAACTACATGAGCGGATGAGGAAAATGCTTGATGTCATCTATCTTAATGTCAGTAGAGACTTGGACATAGTCCCCATCATATCCTTCTTTTCAAATTCAAAATGTGTGGATTTGAAAGGTGGACTGATGAACAAAGTTTAGTCTAGTCATACCTTGAGAGTGGTGGTCATGGGCTCAATGTCTGGCTAGAGAAAGTAACAAGTGGTGCTCCTCAGGGGTCAGTAGTGGGACCAATGCTCTTTAATATCTTCAGCAGTGACATTGACAGTGGGATCAAGTACATTCTCATCAAGTTTGTGGATGACAACAAGCTATGTGATAAGGTCAAGATGACTGAGGGATGGGATGCCACTCAGAGAGACTTAGACAGCTTTGTCAGTGGGACAAGGAGAAGCTCAGGAGGTTCAAAAAATCCAAGTGCAAGCTACTGCGCATGGGTAATGGCAACCAACCCCTTGTATCAGTACAAGTTGAAGGATGTAAGGACAGAGAACAGCCCTGCCACAATGGGCATAGGGATACTAGTAAATAGCAAGTGGACACGAACTAGCAGTGTGTACCCTCACAGCCCAGAAAGCCACTCCTGTCCTGGACTGCACCAAAAGAATGGTGGTCAGCAGGTCAAGGTAGATGATCCTGCCCCTCTGCTCTGCATTGGTGAGACCACATCTGGAGTACTGCATCCTGAATGCAACCCTAGCATACTGCTGACTGTCCCTGTTTTGTATGATCAGAAAAGTGTTACTATTGCCATGAAGTGACATATTACCTTTCATTAACCCTTACATTTCCTAGATGATTGTGTTTTTTCTCCTTTTGTGACATCCATTTGTCACACTCTCAGTTGGAGGACTGACAGGATTGAGATCTTACTTCTTCAGAAGTGATCTTACTTCTGTACAAGTTTAAAGCAACTATTTCTTCTTCCTGGTGATTATAGTGATAGTGAATTTTTCAACTGAAATGTAAAACTCGGGGTTTTATAGAATAAATAGAGTAGATATGCTAAGCCAGTTTAAGTGACAACACTTTTTGGGAAGAGAGGATAAAGTTAAGGAATGAAGCAAGTCATTACTCTGAGCAAAAGTGGAAAGAAAAAAAAAAAATCAGGGGAGCAGAAAAATGAATAGATAGGGCACGCACAAATCAATAGCAGGACTGTCATTAAACTCAAAAGGAGGCAAGTTTTGTTCCCTAAAGAAGGACAATTTTTGCAATGACCCTCATTGTCCACTTTGCATCATATCTCTTTGAAATTCTAGGCCCCTTTCTTCCATCTTGAATGCAGGCTTGCATATATGCAATACTGTGAAACAAGAACATTCTGCCTCTAAAACAATTTTGCTCACACTTCCACCTGCTCACCCTGCCACATCATCTGCCTCCTGGAGCAGCCCAGCCTGGCCAAGGGGTGGATGGGGCCAGGCTGAATGAATGCATGAATGCATGAATGAATGAATGAATGAATGGGGCCTTATAAATATTTCTATAATTAGTCAAAGCACAGTAATTTTTTCCCTACAGGTTAAATACTGCTGATTAGCTGCTTACTTTTTAGAAAGTTCTCTGTCCTTAGTATTTACACGAGTCTTTTTCTGACCTGCTTTAAGCCCGTTAGTCCAAACCAGCTTTTTTCTTTTTTTCTTTTTTCCCCAAGACTATTTTTATGATTTTCAAGGATCAAAGAACATCTGTAACAATTAGTTTTCCATAGATCATTTCTTCTTTTTTTCATAATTTTGCGTTCCCTTACTTTCTGGCTCTGAACTTTGCTTCTACAATGCCAAGGGATTCCAGCCACCACATGCATACAGCCAAGACATTTTAGTGTGAGTTAGATACTCAGGCATACACAACCTGTAACCCACATGCTACGTGTATCCCAACTCAACTTGCACCCCCTACAGCTGTATCTATCACGGCAGCAGCTCTACCCTGATGAGTGGCCAGGCCTAGCCCGGAGTCACAGCAAGGTTTGCAGAGCAGCACTGACAAATAAAGCAACAGAACTGAGAAAAGGCTGTCACCTTAAGGAAATATTTTAAACTAAGTCACATGGCAAAAGAATGTCACGACAGTGCTTTCTAATGGGATATAAGCGCCATAGCAGGTAACCATACAAGACCATATGACCATACCTAACAGGTAACCATACATAACCTACAAGAACCATAGCAGCAGGTAATGAAGAAAAATTAGCTCACCCCTTCCAGAAACTAGTAACAACTCAAAAGAAGAGCAAACTCAGAGAGATACTGCTCCCTCTGCTGCTAACACTTAAATAAAAGCACCTTTTCCAATCATTGCTTGCACCTCAGCTCCCTGGGATAGCCTTGACCTCTCAACTAATGTTCAATCATTGGTTCAGGCTGGGAAGGGATGGAGTGCAGCAGAGTTGCTAGGTCACAGCCTGAGCCAAAGATTGAATAGGTCAGGGGTAAACTCCTGCTGTTTTGGAAACATGAAGTACAACGTGTATCGTGCGTGATGCAGGTACAGTACCTATCAATGATGTGATTGACAGGTGATTGTTGCAAGGTGATTGTTGACAGTCTTCTTATGGTTGTGTTGGAACAGTACTTGATGTTGCTTCTGGAGGCTTATCTTCTTCAGTTCAGGTTTGGGTTCACTGGTTCCCAGAACTTCAGCACTCCACCACCTGGTGTCATGACATACCCTCACAGACACTGAAGCACGCTGAAGTGTTGATGCTCCTACCAGTGGTCCTGTGGACTTCACAGCCTCAAGGGGAGTAGTACAGGTGTTTACAAGGTATGAGGAGTGGTGGGTCTGCCTTCAGTGGTAGGATACAGGCTGTGTTTTTGTCTTGAGTCAAACACCTCCACTTGTGCTGGGGCATGTCCTGGCCTTCGGCACAACATCCTTTGTCCTGATATCTGGGGCAGGATCACTATATCAGGTACTACAGGGGGGTGGGGGTTCTAATTTGCCGTGTGGACATATTTAATGTTCCCTTTGTGATGAAAATTGGAGTGCCAGCTACTATGTTTACTGGCTGTGTAGTGATAACCATAGGGTTTACCTCTAACAAATGCCTCCAAGGTGCAAGTAGATTATTAAGAGAAAGGAAAATTGGCTGTGACAAAACAAAAATTGTTGTTGGAATATGGATCAAAGAAATAAATAAATCCCATTCTTGCAAAACCTGTTGCTGGTTGCATTGCACTCTTCTGGAAATCTGCACATAGAGCAGAAAAATGAAAATTTGTATAGAATTAAAATTGAGATTTTGAAGTAGTGAGTGAATGGTAATCAAAGAAATAAAGTGCAACTTTAGATTTTGTTGAATCCCAGGGAGCATACTCATGCAGGCAGTCCAGTTCACTAATGTAGCTGTCTTTTCATATGGTCCTAAACTTCTACATTAGATTCAGTTCTTGCTTGCCTGCTTGTAGTCATAACTCCAGAGAGATTTCCCTTTGGAATGTTAAAAATTGAGTTCTCCTGAATCAGCTTCCACAAAACAAATGTTCCTCACACAAACTTCCTCACACAAGGGTACTTTGTAAGAAGAAGAAGATGAAATACAAGGCCAAATATCTCCTGGCTCACTTAAATACTGTCCT